TATTCACAAAAGGCACTGCAGCTTGAATTCCAAGGATGTAGTGGGGACGAACTGAACGCCATGCAGAGGGGGAATTGGAAGCGGTGGGAAGGATAAGGGGAACTAACGGCAAGCGGTACAACCCTGCACAAAAACATGTTAGCCTCACCCCGATGGGGCCGCCACCTGGCGGGGAAACCACACAACGTGATTTCTTTTATGCGTTATTAAACGACGCCGTCAAGTAGCTAGACTATACGGCGTTGAAGGGTAGGAGTACATTTGCCTGGGAGGTCTGAGGAAAATCACAAAAGAACCTCGTAACAACCGAAGTCCTGGCCGAGAATCGAACCAAGCACCTCTCGGCTACGAGTCTCGAGCATTAGCGCTAAGTCAACTTGTTTGATTGACACGTGATTGTTTCTCTGTAATTTCTTTGTCAGAAGCCCTCACGATATACAGTGCCGAATGACTGGACGATAGTGAATAATGACTTGGAAAGGTTGTGGAAGGAAGAGATCCTGGTCTGATTTAAGTTACAGGGAGGATTTATACTTTGTTGACCGGTTCCACGGCTCTCCACTTCACGGTGGCCGATGAGCCGCTTGCTGAGAGGAGCATTCACCTACATCTCCTCTTTTCTCATGGCATACAACAGTTTACGTAAGAACGAGGACACGTTTGTGACTAGAAGTAATGAAAGTGTATTTATGAAATAGCTATACTGTAATCAGACCCGTGCAAACACGCGGTCACATGTATCTGAACTCGGTGCCATCTGCCGTCGCGAGTCGCTGATCGCACAAGACACTACGTAGGAGCTGTTATCATCAGATCACCATTATCGACGGGTGACGAATATTAAGTGTTTTAAAGGAACATCCAAATGTCATTTAATTAATCTTCTTCCTTTTTTCTCCATCTGACCCTTCAACTCGGTCATCAGCCATTGTTACTGTGAGTCTAGAATGCCTTTGTGAATTGCTAGATTCTATTTTCACCACAGGCGAGAACCAAAATCACCACACCGGAGATCTGGCTGAACACACACGACTTCTCTTCCGTAAGGTTGCCTATTTCAAGGTATGACGAAACATGAGAGATGTTTCCGACGACCAATAACGTCTTGTCTTTCATCCTATCCACTCAGGTTTTAAAAAGACTGGGGATAGCTCAACTGGTATAAAGACAGGCTGCGGGCTGGACAGGTAGGGTTTGACTCCCAGCAGGGGCAAGAGATTTTTTCTTCTCCACAGCGTCCAGACCGGTTCTGGGGCCCACACAGCCTTCTAACCAATGGACACCTGGGGGTAAAGTGGCCTGCGAGTGAAGATGACCACCACCCACGTTCATCTAGTGCCGAGGTCGAGAACAGTGGAGTTATACCTCCAATACATACGTCTTCGTGGCTTATTACTTAAGTAATTAAGCATAGGGACAACTTAGCCATTCAAACAGGTCCTTTTTGACCACAGTGTCCATGCTCTGCCTCTCCTGCCTTCCCTCACTTCACGTTAATTCACACATCGGTAATTTCTCCCAGTCCCTCTGCTCCTAAAAACGATCCTTCGAGAACCGCATATTCTCTGACTGCTCTCCTTAATCCCCTCAGGGCCTCGGCCATGATACTCGCTTTCCTCATAATAAAAAAGGCAACACGCCTGTAACACGCCGTGGAGGGCCATAGGGTTGTGAGACGTCGAGGCTCCCACATGTTCTAGATAATCGGCTCACAAATGGTGGTGAGATTGTCAGCCTTATGTGCCGGCCGCCCTATACCCACAGGAAGATTCCTGGTACTCATTTCTGTCAGAGGCTAAGCCGACTGTAGGTCCACTGTGAGACTAAAAGGATTAGGACAACTGAAACAAATCCAACGACCTCATAGGGAATCGAAGCGGCGACCTTTCGGCTTGTAGCACAGTGCCTAGACCAACTACTCTACCGAGTGCTCCGCCCTCTCCCCACATTCGCACCACTTTTCCAAGACAGGCCTACTCTTCACTCTACTTGAGACAGCATGTCCCCCCGAAACTCTGCCAATTATCTACTAGCCTACCCGTCTCGGTTATAACATCTCACCACGGACCGTGTAGAAAGCAACGTTCATTGTTGTGCTCCAATCTTTCCCCTGGGAATGTGTTTGTTTGTGATGACGTTACTCAGTAATGGATGCGTATACTTGCTTATTGAGAATCTATTTTCTAGAAGCGGATGCTGTTTCATTGTTTGTTGTGAGGTCAGGAATTAAAGACGAAAGCAAGAGCAGAAAACGCTGACACGCGGAGTCGAAGGTTAAGGTTAGAAAAAGATCAAGACTATCTGATAGGACGTTAATTCATTGTGCGTTTTACAATTTAATTTTAAGAACGATAGCTTTTAATATTAAATATTTGTGGCATTATCTTTCAATTTTTAAATTATTTTTATTTTGAATTTACTTTGTGCTATGTGCTCTTCTTTTAATGACTTCTATTATCAAATGTGTATGTCAGGTAGAGATCAGTTTTGCATGTTACTGAATTATATAATCTTGTCACAATATATTGGTTCAGAATAATATTAAATGATGCTAGGTTAAAAAAGTGTTCCTGTGCTTAACGAATTAAGCACTACGCCATGAAGGCGTATGAGGGAGTGCATGTATAGATCCACGTTTTCTTGACCTCGGCATAGTTGGAAGTGATTGGTCAGCTTCATGCCTCGGCCGCTTTACCCCCGGGGAAAGAGCCCCCCGATACCCATTGGATAGGAGGTTGGGTGCACACAAGAACCAGTCTGGACAATTTGGAGAAGACAAAATCTTGACCCTACCGGGACTCAAACTCCGACCTATTGGTCGTCCAGCCCGTAGCCAGTCGCTATACCGACTACGCTGCCCCAGTTCATATAATATTCCATACATTTATCATTATATCTTTCTTTAAAGAAAACCTCTGAAACTTTTAGTATAACCCCGTTTATTACGATAGTCAGCAAATATGTCCCAAATGGATATAAAACGTAAAACATGTGATATTCGAAACTGGAAAAGACGTTTATTTCTCGACATATCCTCCACCAACATTGATCCACTTGTCCCATCACTTTACCAAAGCGTCGAAACCCGCAGCACAGAAGTCTTTTTGCTGCTGTCCCAGCCACTTCCGCACCTCCGTTACAACCTCTTCGTAATCAGCGAAACGTTTGCCACCAACGTAGAACCGCTTTACGTGACAAACACTTCCCAACGTAAACACGAGGCATCCCTTTATGAACATCCTTTGCGCTGAGCCCTTTGGCCCACAGAAAACGCACAACGGAACGCTGCTCTTCAGTAGTACACATCAAGCAGGGCCGCCATTTTGACTTCTGAAACCAGCCTCTGAACACGTACATAAGTAGTATATAGAAACGCGGGGACCACCCCAGTTTATACATACTACCCCTTCCTCTCACCCAAGTGATTCACGAAATCGAACAAAAACGTTTAAAAATTACTATTACCAAAAATCCAATTGAACAACAAAAAGTGTCTAGAAGTCGCATAAAAATCACAAAATGTGCATATTTTGTGTTCGGTCAAAATACGTTGATAACTAGCAAAATATGTTGTGATGTTCATAATACTACTATAAAATATAGTTGGTTTTACTTTTTATATAATAATACAATTAGAAACATGTATCAGCAAACAAGCATAAGCAAGAAATCTGGTGTCGTTGCATACAAAAAAAAATCTTGGTCTTCCTTAAAATAAAATCTGTGTTCATTCATCAAAAATAAAACCTGGAACCGTACATAAAGATGTGGGGACAACCATTAAAATAAAAAAATCTGGGGCCATTTACAAAAATCCGTGCTCATTCATTACAGTTAAAATCTGGGCCATTCACAAAAATTAAAATCTGGGGTCATTCACATATCCCCGCGTTTTCAAGCTAGAAGATGTAGACAATATGTCCCTTCGAAACGTCGGTATCCGCCCGCAAGACCGTAATCTTAAAGATGCTTTCGCTATGCTGATGTTAAGAAAGAGCCGCCTGACTACGTGGTACCGGTCGGATTATGAGATATTCAGATTAATAAAGTCTGGATTAGCGAGGTCTGCCTCCATAGAAGCTAACCTCCCAGTTCAGGTGCACAACTTGTATGACATCTAGAAATGCAGGGTATATACAGTAACTTTCATCCGAAGTTGGCATGATTGAATAACCACATTTTCTCTCACACAGGTGTATTACGCATGGAAGTCAGACTGATCTCTCTGCAGGCTGCACGTAAGTATATCTCGCCAACCACGTATGCCGATACCGGAGTTTAACCAAGGAATTGTCCATACCTGGACCATGCACTACACCCACTACATACACATATGTAACAAACTCACCTTGACTGATGTTGTACAGCTCTTCATTGGTGGTTCGACGCGTTTTCCGCTTCCGGTATATTCGGTTGCTGTTCGCACTGGTCCACCATGTTCGAAGCACGACTTCTCTTTTCTTAAAAATATTACCAACGGTTGATTTTGAGATTCCGAAATCTGCTGCGATAGATCGATGTGACCTGCCTTTACCTAGTTCGTCAAGAACCAATTTTTTCTTTTCTATTGACAGTTCAACGGAACACCTCTTCTCGCACGACGCCATGCCACAAACACGACACAGCTGTTTTAGATCTATGCAAAGCATTTAAAAAGAAGATATAACATTTCACAGTTTTTAGTAGCAACGACAAGTGCAGGTCAAATTCCACACTTGTGGAAGTGATCAATAGAGGTTCGTAGCATTTTTCGATTGTACGTGGCAATGTCTGCCAGCTGACTAGCGCAGGGGGTTAGCAACTGATGCTCGCGGACCCGCCAAGGGATCCTGGTTACCGATAGGAATGAAATTTTTTCTCTGTAACAACCAGATCTCTTTTATCTCGTAATGAACGTTGGAACAGACCGATGAAAACATACAAATTGACATTTTTTTCCTTACTGACATAATGTAATGTAATGGTAAAGAGGAAGCTGATATTTATTATTATTCAGTCGACGCAATTCTAGAATGAACACACCATGCGTTTGCATGGGCTACCTGTTCGGCCATCATTAGGTACGTAAAGCTTTTACAATCGTCATACTTTAGTCTGCTATACCTCCTTACATTGGCCAGTGTTTACACACTGGGAGTGCGTTGTACAGGTATGTTGTTTGCGTACTGCCCTTATGTTATGAATTGTAAAGAACATTAACGTTTAAATTTTTAAACATTTTAAAAGATTCTAACCACCTCTGGTCTAGTGGTCAGAGTTCCTGGCTACAGATCCAGAGGTTCGGGTTCGATTCCCGGCGCTACCAGATTTTCTGAGAAGTAGTGTGTCTGGAACGGGGTCCACTCAGCCTCGTGAGGAGCTATTTCAAGGAAATAGCGGCTCCGGTCTAGAAAATCGAACTTAGCGGCCGTGGGGATTCGTTGCGCTGACCACGCGACACCCTCTGTCCGCTAAAGTTAGCACTAACTTCGCTGACAAGCGGCGGTCGCTCGGTCGGTATAGTTCGCTTACGGACTAAAACCACGGATTTTTTTTAAAGATTCTAATTTGAATTAAAAATGAGTTAGGCGTCAAAAGTATATATATATATATATACTTATATGTATATATTGGCGTATAATGTCGTGTCCCTTTTATTTTGTGTTGCCAGATTTTCAAGTGGCGTTCGCCAATGTCCGTTCTTGTTTAGCGTGGAATTCTTCCTATGATTTGAAATATGAATGTGTTATTAGAGCTTGTATTTTAAGTTTGTTTGGGTAGTAGTATATGTCGGCTTTCCTCATATTATGTTGATGTTACGGTTATATGTGGGCATGGGTATGTGATGTGTTTTGTGTTAGCATAGGTGTGTTTACTGGGTTGTGCACTGACATTTTGGATGTTTATTTAGTGTTTTCTTACCTTATGTGGAGAGTGTGTTGTTTGCACGAATGGCTGTGTGGGACTGGTGCACTTGGTGTTTATGCCTGCATGTATTTTATGCGGTGATATGTATAGTGCTGCGTTCTGCTGGCGTGGCGTGAAACTTTGTGTTATTGTTTTGTATAGTGATTACAGATGATTTTAATATTAAAAAAAAAGTAAAACTATCCCTGTACCAGGCCGTGAAGGCCCATAGGGTTGTGAGACGTTGAGGGTGCCACATTATCTAGACAATCGGCTCAAAGATGGTCAGCCTTACGCGCCGGAAGCCCTTTACCCCCAGGAAAATTCCTGGTACTCAATTCTGTTAGAGGCTGAGTCGACCCCAGGGCCATAGTGCGGCTGGAAGGATTAGGTCAATTGAAGAAAATACAATGACATCGGGACTTGAACCCGCGACCTTCCGGCTTGTAGCATAGCCCCTCAACCAACTACACTACCGAATGTATTTTATAACATCAGGGCATTGGCTTACCTGCACAACGCACTCGCAATACGCAAGCACTGACCAGTATGGGAACTGTAAAACGTCTGTGTACCTGACGAGGGCCGCAATAGCCCGGAAGATGTAGGACACGCAAGTGCATGGTATTTATACCAGAATTGTGTCGACTGAATAACAATAAATATTATCTCACACGCAAAATGACGCTACAGTATATCTCTAGAAAGGGTGGTGATGACCAATGCAGATTACTGTACTCAGATCTACATACAAATTATGATGATGAGATTACTACTACTTCTAATAATAATAATAATAATAATAATAGTAAGGTAAAGCTGTGGGATGTGTAGCGGACCACTAGTCCAATCTAATGCGAAGGTTAAGAATGCGTGGATGTATCCCACTTCTCCCCCATACGTCTGCGTGACGTTTAATTACGCATAGAGTCGGCTTTTCGACCCACTTAAGCCTTGTTATATACAAATATTTTTTTCGAACACTTTCAAGTATTTATGGTAACCGGGACAGCTCGGTCACCGTAGTGACTAGCTGTGGCGGAAGACCGTGGTTCGATTTCCGACAAAGGCAGTCGTCTTCTCCACATTGTCCAGCCCGATTCTGGCTCCACCCAGCCTCCTGTTCAATGCGTAAGAAGGAGCCCTTTCGTCCGGTGGTGACTCGGGCGGGTGAGGAACTGACCACTGACCTCCATCTAGTGCCGAGGTTAGGAATGCGTGGAGCCATACCTCTACGCGTTCCTATGTCTTCATACTTCGGTGACTAAGTAAGTGAGGACCACTGTTGAAGTCGGGACGCATTAGTGTTCTCGGCACTATATGGGGCTGATAGCATTAATCTCGGTACCCACAGGAAGGGAGGCTGGTTGGGCCACAATCGGTCCGGCCCGTAGCGCAGTCGCTGTACTGACTGAAGTATTCAGATTTCCGATAAAGGGTAAACTTCTCAGTGCTTAATTAGTTACGCACAATGCCATGAAGACGTATGGAGGGAATGGAGAGATATCGCCGCCATTCTTGACCTTGGCACTAAATGCAGGTGAGTGGTCAGCTTCACGCCCCTGCCGCCTTACACCCGGGGAAGAAGCCCACGGTACCCATTGGATAGGAGACTCTGCGGGTCTCAGAGGCTGTCTGGATGCTGTGGAGAAGAGGAAAACCTTGCACTGCGGGAAATCAAACCCGGGCTCAGGTTTCCGATTAATAATAATAATAATAATAACCATAATAAGGGGGGGATTGTGTCATCGTACTTTGCTGAGACACTATGTTGCAAGCCGGAAGGTCGCGGGTTCGATTCCCGATGAGGTAACTGGAACTTTCAGTTAACCTAATTCTTCCAGCCGCACTATAGCACTGAGGTCAATTCAGCCTCTAAAAGAAACGAATACCAAGAATCTTCCTGGGGGTAAAGCGCGGCCTGCGCGTAAGGCTGACAGCCTCACCGCCATCTGTGAGCCGATTGTCTAGAAAATGTGAGAACCTCGACGTGTCACAACCCTATGGGACTTCATGGCCTGTTACAGCGATAGCTTTACCATGTAAATAATAATAATAATAATAACTAAACTCCATGGAGCATAGCCCTTCTTGAGAAGACGCCAGTCAAGAATTTCCAAACATAGTATGGAACCCAAAAGTTCATCATCGTGTTCTCAAGAACCATCCACTGATACCTATCCTGGGCCAGCTGAATCCAGTCCATATGAACTAAACTCCGTGGTGCTAGTCCGCAAGCGAACTATACCGACCGACCATATGAACCCATCCTATTTCTGTAAGATCTATTCTAATATTATCCTCCCACTAATGTTTAGGTCTTCCTAGTGGTCTCTTTTCTTCTGGCTTTTCCACCAAAACCCTATATGCATTCCTCCTGCCCTCATACGTGCTACATGCCCTACCCATTCCATCCTTCTTGACTCGATCATTCGATTTATATTTGGCGAAGAACACAAGTTAATGAGGATCTTCATTAAATAATATTACTAATATCGGAAGTAAGAGTTGCAGACTAGGCTACTCACCCTCATCTTCGTCCTTCCAATGTCCCAGTAAGTAATGTCTCTCTTGGTTCTGGAGATGCTTCTTCGAGCACTGATGCTTCTCAGCTTTTCGGACGAAATTCTTGGTAACGGAGATTCCGTGCAAAGTCCATTTGTTTTCACCCCCAAACAGAATGCAAACATAGCAGAAAAGGTTCTTGGTCTTGGCACAGCCTGTCAGCCAGGGATACTTGCTGTACCAGGAATCTTGGAACTTCCGGTTCTGTTTCCCATCAAAAATCTTCACGTCCAAGTGCGGCATCAGCCGTTTGTTCTTGGCTGCACACTTCTCGTCGCAGGACCACGCCGCGAACGGCCTGGCTCTCAGAGCCTGCAACAAGTCGGCCACACTTTCAATTTCACACATTGCAACTGCTGGTGGTCGTGGGAACTAGCCTCTCTGGCAGCCTCACCAGCCTATAGAGCGCATGCTCGCCGCTGCCACACAGAACCTACACGCAGTTAGGTAGGCTTTGGTTGCGTAAGTTTCGTTGCTGCTTCGTTTCGGGAAGATTCCTTTCTCAACGCACATAAAACACGGGACAAGGAGATGTGATGACATGTAGTTTGGTAGAAGTTTAGCGGCTTTTCAAAGGAACGTACTGTCTCCATCTGCAGGGTCAAAGATATTATAACCAACGAACAAGATATGGGCAGCAAAATGAATGACTGATCTTTGCTTTATACTCGTTGCTTATCATATTTCCCTTCTTGAAGATGGAGGCTGTACGTCCTTTCGAAACGTCTCATTCTACTGGATTTCACGGTGTCGTATCCCAGAAGCCACCGCTGTGAGAATCTAAGAAAAAACACGGGACGTTTAATGCATCTACAGCCTTCTTGATGGAAACCTGGTGTTCCATCGGCACTACTGCAGAAGAATGAGGCAACTGTTGCACCTAGAACAGCACTACGTGAGTTTTCTCCACTGCTACTTAATCGCAACGCCGGTATAGCGGCCAGGCTACGGAATGGACGACCGATGAATCACGTGTTGATTCGCGACAGAGGAAAACTATTTTCGATAGCATAGTTGGTTGAGGCACCATGTTACAAGCCGGAAGGTCGCTGGTTCGAATCCCGATGAATTCATTGATTTTTTTTTTTCGTTTACCTAATCCTTCCAGCCGCATTATGACCATGGGTCGACTCAGCCTCTAAGAGAAATGAGTACCAGGAATCTTCCAGGGGAGGTAAAAGGCGGCCGGCGCGTAAGGCTGACAACCTCACCGTCACCTGCGAATCAATTTTCTAGGAAATGTTGAAGCCTCGACGTCTCACAACCCTATGGGCCTCCGCGGCCTGCTGCAGGGATGCCTTTACCTTATACTGCGTCTAAATTGGCCCTTAGAGCGACACAGGTTTGCACCCAATGGGAACGGGGGGGGGGGCTTTACCCCGGGCGTAATGTAGTCAGGGCGTGTGACTGATCACTCACATCCATCTGGTGCTTAAGTAAAGTACGCATGGAGCTATACCTCCACTCCGCTGTATAAGCAGGGACAATATTGCATAAAATTATGAGTAATAATCCCGATCTTTCAAATTTGGTTGCAGCTGCAGACTCGCTGCAAGCAGATAGATCGTTTTTTTTAACTAACTTCAAAATATGCCTGAAGTACTATGCA